GTAGAATGTCCTTCTGTTGAAATGTCTGATGCTTTTATTGTTATTAGATTGGGTTTATAGATTTTTCTAACATTCTTGATCATCCAACAGTTAAGACTATATTTTTGTTTTTTAAATGTTTCTTTTTTTTAATTTTTATTTATTTCTGAGAGAGAGAGAGAGAGCGAGCATGAGCAGGGGAGGGTCAGAGAGAGAGAGAGCTACAGAATCTGAAACAGGCTCCAGGCTCTGAGCTAGTTGTCGGCTCAGAGCCTGACGCGGGGCTCGAACCCACGAACTGTGAGATCATGACCTGAGCCGAAGTCGGACGCTTAACCAACTGAGCTACCCAGGCACCCCAAGACTATATTTTTGTGAGAATGTGTATAGAAACTAACAATCAAGAATTAGAATATAAACCATGGAGCGTGCATGCTATGTTTTGAGGATTTGGGATCAGTTAGGTGCAGAGTTTAGTAATCCAGTAATCTAAGAAAAGAATGTGGACAATAGTTTGAAATAAAATGTTACTAGCAGCAAATCTTTATTGAGAACCTGCTATTAGTAGGGCCTTATGCTACACTGTCAGTCACTCCTCTTCAGTATCAGTTCCAGCAGGAGTTCTGCACAAAAGAAAAGTGATTATCAGAGTGTGGCTTTACTAGCAGATAGATATCCAGAGGAAATGTAATCAGGGCAGCTCTCTGGAAGAAGGCTGGGTGAAAGCAGGTAGTTTAGGCCTAAGGGAGCCTCCTACCTAATGCTAAATGTAAATCTTGGCCTTAGCATACTCAAGTGGCATCTTCATTTTGGGGAGTGTGTTGGTGGAGGAGAGAAAGGAAGCACCTTACCATCTTCTGTGTAAAACTTTACATGGTGGTGTAATTGCCTATTTAATTACTGTTTCTTCCAGTAGATTTAACCTTATATGGGAGCCAGAGAATCTGGTTTATCTTGCTCACTATTATAGCCTCTGGTGCCTAGTCTATTTCCAGCACATGGTTGATGTTAAATTAATAAAGAATAAGTAGGAGTTTCCCAGGCAGTGTAAGGAGCAGAAGTTCACAGGTAGGGAATGTTTGCAGACATGTTAGATCCATTGTTCCAGATGTAGATCCCATTCTTCAGCTCTAGGAAGCTTTCTTGGACCTCACTCCATTTCTTTTACCTTACAGCACTTAACGCACATTCTGTGCCCAGATTCTTAGTTTTATTAATTTTGCATTATTATCTTTTAACATAGGTGGCTTCTGGCTCTTTAGTGCTAGCTGCTTCTTTGTTTTTGTTTTCCTTGGAGTGCCCATTCCATGCAGATATGGTGTTAGGTGTTGTACATATTTTATAATCCTTATTATTTAATCCTTTCAATAACCTGCCACAATAGGCAAAGGGAGAAATTGAGGCTTAGGAAAGTTTAATAACTTGTCCAAGGTTGTACAACACTTTCTTGGCACCCTCCAGATGCTTGAGGCCTCTTCTGCTCTATGCTGTTTTTAACAAAATACATTGTTTTGTTAAAATTTACATGCTTAATGAAAGTCTTTTTATACTTTTTAGACCTCATCATAATTCCATTATGAGTGTGTGTGTGTGTGTCTGTGTGTGTGTGTTTGATCAAAGGATCAAAGTGCTAATCCTAGCAGTTGAGACTTTGGAGCTGAATAGCAAAACTGGCAAAATAGCCAACTTCAAATGTTATATTTTCAAGACTAAAAATGAATGTCTTACTTGGTGATTACTTATATGATAAATTATTATTATAAAACCTTTTTAATAGAGCACGCAGAAAAAGGAAGTTTTATCATTGCTCAGAGAAGAAAATATACTTATTTAAAATGTGCTAGGCATTCCGTTTTGATGCTTCAAACATTAAGTTGTTCCCTGTAGCCTTGGAAACTGTGACTTTTAAGTGTTTGTTTTTAAACTATGGTTTTCTTTTTAATATTAGTAGGTTCTGATGGTAGAAAAAAGTTGTCATGTGGAATTACTCTGTGGAACCACTTGAATAGACTTGAAACATTGTTTATACATAAATAAATTCACAGCTCTGAAAAATATTCTGAAAGGCACAGTATGTGCTGGCATCTGCAAGGCAGCCCGTATTTGATACTGAGTTTAGACTACTCAGAGGAGGTGGCGAAAAGGGCCTCTGCGAAAAGGGCCTCTGATAGAAAGCAAATGGAAAGGGCAAGGTGTTGGGCACTTTTTTTTTCTTTTTGCCATTTAAGTATCTTTAAACCTTTCCTGGGAATTCATCAAAAGTTTCTTTTCAAAATGAAATTTTTGGTGAGATATAGCATGACACAACTGTAAATGTCAGTTTGCGTTACGGTGTGGAGGGTTTGTTTCTCCCTTTAAAAAATTTTTTTAATGTGTCTTTATTTTTGAGGTGGAGGAGGGGCAGAGAGAGAGGGAGACACAGAATCTGAAGCAGGCTCCAGGCTCTGTGCTGTTAGCACAGAGCCAGACACGGGGCTGGTACCCACAAACTATGAGATCATGACCTGGGCTGAAGTCGGATACTTAACCAGCTGACCCACCCAGGTGCCCTGAGAACATTCTTTGTAACTATAGTACAGCCATCAAAATAAGGAAATTAACATTAAAACATGACTACCAATGAACTCACAAATCCCATTCAAGTTTCTTCACCTGACTCAACATCTTTTATAACAAAGGATGTCATCCAGGGCTACACATTGCATTTAGTGGTCGTGTCTATTCTGTAAGTCTGAAACAGTTCCTAGTCTTTCCTTGAGTTTCATGACCTTGGCATGTAAAAAGATTTTAGGCCTTTTATTTTGTTTTTTTTATTATTAAAAAATTGTTTTAATGTTTATTTAGTTTTGAGAGATAGAGCAAGCAGGAAGGGGCAGAGAGAGAGGGAGACAGAGGGTTCGAAACAGGCTCCGCACTGTCAGCACAAAGCCTGACATGGGGCTCTAACCCACAAACCGCGAGATCATAATCTGGGCCAAAGTCAAATGCTCACCCAACGAGCCACCCAGGTGCCCCTAGGCCATTTATTTTGTAATGTTCCCCAGTTTTGATTTGTCTAATGGAGCCTCATGAAGAGATTCAGGTTGTCCATTTTTTGAAGGAGTATTATAGAAGTGATGTTGTTTTCTTGCATTCTTTCAAGTGATGTACAGTTTTGCTTCCCTTCCCTTATGATTATCTGTTTTGTATCTTAAAGTCCTCATATGAGTGAAATCATATGATATTTGTCTTTCTCTGACTAATTTCACTTAGCATAATACCCTCTAGTTCCACCCACGTAGTTGAAAATGGCGAGATTTCATTCTTTTTGATTGCCGAGTGATACTTCATTGTATATATATACCACATCTTCTTTACCCATTCATCCATCTATGGACATTTGGGCTCTTTCCATACTTTGGCTATTGTCGACAGTGCTGCTAGAAACATTGGGGTACATGTGCCCCTTCGAAATAGCACACCTCTATCCCTTGGAAAGATACCTAGTAGTGCAACTGCTGGGTCATATGGTAGTTCTATTTTTAACTTTTTGAGGAACCGGCACACTGTTTTCCATAGTGGCTGCACCATTTTGCATTCTGTGGAATTAGTTATTAATGTGATGACTGCCAAGTGGCTATTGTCTAATTCTCTCACGTCTTCTGTATTCATTAGTTAACATCCTACTCTAAGGAAAAGTTCTCTCTTCTTCATCATTCACTTATTTATATCAGTGTGGACTAACATATTCCTCTTTGAGCCAATATATTGTTATCTGTTACTATAATAATTTGCTTTGATACTCAGATTATTTCACATTTGGCCATGGAAACAGAAGTTGGCTTCTGTTTTCGTTTGACATATTTACTTCACTCTTTGAGTACATTTTTATTCCCTGGTACAGCATATTCCAGGTTTATAGTTCTTTGGACCTAGATTAGAATTAGTTATTTCTTGGGGCACCTCTGTGGCTCAGTCAGTTAAGTGTGTGACTTTGGCTCAGCTCATGATCTCAGTTTGTAGGTTTGAGCCCTGTGTCAGGCTCTGTGCTAACAGCTCAGAGCCTGGAGCCTGCTTTAGATTCTGTGTCTCCCTCTCTCTCTGCCCTTCCCCTGCTGTGCTCTGTCTCTATCAAAAATAAACATTAAAAAAAAGAATTAGTTATTTCTCCAAGGAACTTTGGTTTCTTTTAGTGAAGATCAGTTTTTAGAAACTAAAGTCTGGGTATATGTATGTTCTTTGCAGTGCATCACTGCTCCTATGCCCTCAGTGAGAGAGCTATAATATATATTTATTTATTTTAGATGCTTAAAAAAATGTAAGTAATTTCTACACCCCACGTGGGGCTCAAGATCAAGAGTCACATGCTGTTGCAACTGAGCCAGCAGGCACCCCATATTTATCTATATTTTTATATCATCCATCTGGTTTTTAAAAAATTTTTTTTAAATGTTTTTTATTTATTTCTGAGAGAGAGAGACAGCGTGAGTAAGGGAAGGTCAGAGAGAGAGGGAGACACAGAATCCGCAATAGGCTCCAGGCTCTGAGCTAGGTGTCAGCACAGAGCCCGACACTGGGCTCGAACCCACGAACCGTGAGATCATGACCTGAGCTGAAGTTGGATGCTTAACCGACTGAGCCACCCAGGTGCCCCAGTATATCATTCATCTGTTTGCCTGCCTGCCTGCCTGCCTGTCTGTCTACCTACCTATCTATGTTGAAAACATGGGTTCACAAATGTATTTTCAGTTCCCATCCAGTGTCACAGGTTCATTTTAATTTTCTGTTTGTATTTGCAACTTTCTTCTCTAGCAATGAGAAGCCTACTTCTTCATTATTTTTATTATATTTACTTATTAGATCAATTCCCCCTGTATGTAGGTAATTACTCTTCATCCCACTGCCACCATGTGGGCACTGTCTTTACTCTGCTGAGGTTCTGTACCCTGCAATGGGTCATCCTCCTCCTACCCCCATTTAGACTCCATTGTGACCTTGTTCAGGCTCTTACATTCTGGATCAGGCTGCAACTCCTTCCCCACCATCTCCCATATTACATGGAAGTCTACTTTGTTTGGCTCCACCTCAGGCTCTTAGACTGAACTATTCAATAAGGGAAGAAGGATGGAAGGGAAAACGGAAGGCTTATTTTGTCTTTTCTCTTTAAAGCAGATTATTTTCATTGTATAGTTCTATATAAGGGCAAGGAGTGTGTGGGCAAAGCAGCCTACTTAGATGGGGATGATGGCTAACATGGCAACTCTAATAAGTCCTGTTTTATTATTTTAATTTTTTAAAGTTTATTTATTTTCAGAGAGACAGAGATAGCATGAGTGGGGGAGGAGCAGAGAGAGAGAATCTCAAGCAGGCTACGCACTGTCAGCACAGAGCCCAGTGTGGGGCTCAAACTCATGAACCACGAGAACATGACCTGAGCCAAAATCAAGAGTTGGATGCTTACCTGACCGAGCCACCCAGGTGCCCATAGTAAGTCCTGTTTTACTTTTAGCCAGTCTTTTCATCTTAACTATTCCAGATGCTGATACTTCCACTAGAGAGCATTCATGTGAGTTTTAAGGAACTGTACATAAATACTAGCAGATATTCATGGATGATACAACTATATGGTGGCTAAAGGCATGCTGCTGTAAGCTGTATATGTCAGAATATATGGGTAGATGGTAAAACTCCCACCTCATGTGTTCATAACACATAGTAACACTAAAGTTCCTACCAGCCTGGTGATCAAGTGTATTTAAAATATACAGCAAAATACTGCATCAGTTTTTTAGAGATATATGAATAGTCTACATGTGTGTGCTTGTGTGTTCCTGTGTGTGCATGTCTTTAAGTGAGAAACCAGAAAATCAGAATAGCATCTTGCTCAGCATTGTTCAACATTTTATGTTCTGAATAAATATTGTTTGAAAGAATGAATGGATGCTAAAGTTTGAGTGTGTCTGATAAATACTTGGTGAATTTTCCTCTGTAGTTTTGAGGAAAGTATCATGATCTGGGCTAGCTGTGTACCTGTGTAGGAATTAATGGAGATGAAGGGTCTTGAGTTCTGATTTAAGGATTTTTAAAAAGTCTTCATTAAGATAGAATTGACATAATAAACTTCACAAACTTAAGGTGTACAATTTGATAAGTTTTGATATGCAAACATCCATGAAACTGTCACCATAATTAAACCAATGAACATACTCAACAGCTCCAAAAATTTCCTTATGCCCCTTGATAATGCCTCCTTCTTACTCATTCTTTTTCCATCTCCAAGCAAACGCTCATATGCTTTTTTTTTTAATAGTTTATTGTCAAGTTGGTTTCCATATAACACTCAGTGCTCATCCCCACAAGTGCCCTCCTCCATCGCCCCCTTACCCCACCCCCCCCACTCCATCTGCCCTCAGTTTGTTCTCGGCATTCAAGAGTCTCTCATGGTTTGCCTCCCTCCCTCTCCCCCACTATTTTTCCCTTTCTTCTCCCCCATGGTCCTCCGTTAATTTCCTCCTAATCCTCCTATATGTTCATATGCTTTTTAATCACCATAGATTAGTTTGATTTTTTGAGAATTTTATATAAATATAATTGTATAGTATGTGTTCTTTTTTGTCTGCCTTCTATATTTCAAGATAATTATCTTGAGATTTGTTCATGGTGTGTGTAAGTAATTCATTTCTTTTTGTTACTAAGTTGTATTTCTTTGTGTGGATATTCCACAATGCATATACCTACAATATGACCTAGCCATTCTCCTCCTAGATATTTATCCAGGAGAAATGAAAGTGTATGTCCAAATAAAGATTTATGTACAGACGTTCATAAGATCTTTATTTGTGTTAGCTAAAACCTGGCAACAATACAAATGTCTATCAGTTGTTGAGGCCTCTATTAGGGATCCCTCTATTGGGGAGCCAGAATGAATTGAGAACTACTCTTTTCATTTTTCTGGAAGAGATTGTGTTGAACTGGTATTCTTTCTTCTTTACATGTTTGTTAGAATTAATAATGAAGCTATCTGAGTCTGAAATTCTCCTTGTAGGAGTATTTTGAACTAAAATTATGTTTCTTTACATATAGAACTATTCCAGTCATCTATATTTCTACTCGAGGGAGCTTTGGTAATTTGTATCTTTCAAGGAATTTGTCCACTTTATGTAAGTGGTAAAATTAAGCATCTGTAGAATCTGTAGTGCTGTTACTTCTGTTCTTGTTATTGGTAATTGAGTCTTCTTTTTTTCCTGGTTAGTCTAGCCAGAGGCTTGTCAGTATTATGGATCTTCTCCAAGAAACAGGTTTTGGCATTACTGATTTTTCTATTGTTTTTGTCTTTTGTTTCATTGATCTCAGCTCTGATATTTATTATTTCCTTTCTCCTGCAGACTTTGAGTTTAATTTGTACTTCTAATTTTTTACAGTGAAAGCTGAGGTCATTGATTTGAGGCTTTTCTTGTTTACAAATATATGGTTTTAGTACTATAAATTTAGTACATTAATTGCATGTCATACATTTTGGGTTTTTTTCCTATTTTTTCTGGTTTTTTTTCCTATTACTTTTTGAGGGGGGTGTTAAATATTGTGGATTTGTCTGTGTTAACCTATAGGTCTTTCACATTTTGCTTCATGCATTTTCAAGCTCTTATTGGGTGCATAAACATTTAGAATTATGTCCCCTTGAAAAATTGCTGGTACCGGGGCTCCTGGGTGGCTTAGTCGGTTAAGTGTCCGACTTTCGCTTAGGTCATGATCTCACGGTTCGTGGGTTCGAGTCCTGCGTTGGGCTCTGTGCTGACTGCCAGCTCAGAGCCTGGAGCCTGTTTCAGAGTCTGTGTCTCCCTCTCTCTCTGACCCTTCCCTGCTCACGCTGTCCCTCTCTCTCTCTCTCTCCTAGAAATAAATAAAAATATTAAAAAAAAAAAAAAGAAAAGAAAAATTGCTGGTACCTTTTTTAAATCATTCTGATTATCATTTAAGATGAATTACGAATTATCATTGAAGATAATTGATCATTATCATTATTTTTGTTCCTGGTAATAACCTTTGTTCTGAAGTCTACTTTGTATAATACTAATACAGCTATTCTAGCTTTCTTTTGAACCGTGTCAGCATGGCGTATCTTTTTCCTGTTTGCTTTTTATATTTAGCCTATTTTAAATTTTTTATATTTAAAGGGAGTTCCTTGTAGATATCATGAAGTTGGGTCTTGCCCTTTTTCTAAATCCAGTATTTTTTTTTTTTTTTTTTGCCTATTAATTGGGGTGTTTGGGCTATTTTTAATTTACTGTAATTACTGCTATTGCGGAGTTTAAATCTACTATCTTGCTATCTGTACTCAGTTTCTTACATTTGTTCTTTGATCTCCTTTTGCTTCTTATCTGCCTAATTTTAGATTTTATTTCCTTTGTTGGCTTTATTAGCTTTAATTTTTTGTTTTGTTATTCTAATGGTTGCTTTAGGGTTTATAATGTACATTTTAGAGTGATAGCATACCACTTCCCATACAGTAAAAGGACCTTACATCCATGTACATTTTTCCTCTTACTGGCCTTTTTGCTATTTTTATTATGTATTTTACTTCTTTTTTTTTAATTTTTTTTTAATGTTTTATTTATTTTTAGGAGAGAGAGAGACAGCGCGAGCAGGGGAGGGTCAGAGAGAGAGGGAGACACAGAATCTGAAGCAGGCTCCAGGCTCTGAGCAGGCAGTCAGTACAGAGCCCGATGCGGGGCTCGAACCCACTAACCGCGAGATCGTGACCTAAGCGAAAGTCGGACGATTAACTGGCTAAGCCACCCAGGCGCCCCTAAAGTACTGTCTTTAATTCTTTACATTTTTCTATACTTATTTTCTGTATTAAAGAAGTGGTTTTCTAACTAATAGAAGAGATTAAGACTTTATCACACTACTAGGCATATCTATTAATTCATTCAGTGTTTTTTTGTTGTTGTTTNCCCGACGCGGGGCTCGAACCCACGAACCGCGAGATCATGACCTAAGCGAAAGTCGGACGCTTAACTGACTAAGCCACCCAGGCGCCCCATCATGTATTTTACTTCTAAATGTTACCAACCCTCCAATATATTATTCTTGTTGCTTTGAACAGTTGATTTACTTTGATTTTTATTTATTTACTTATTTCTTTTTAAAAATATATTTATTTTGAGGGAGAGAGAGAGAGGGAGAGAGAGAGGGAGCATGCCCAAGCAGGGGAGAGACAGAGAGAGGAAGAGAGAGAGGGAGAGAGAGAATCCAAGCAGGCTCAATACTGTCAGTGCAGAGCCTGATGTGGGGCTCAAACTCATAAACCTTGAGATCATGACTTGAGCCAAATCAAGAGTAAGACGCTTAATTGACTGAGCCATCCAGGTACCGCTAAACATATAACATGTTCAATCTTTTCTCTAGCTTTTGTGCATATAAATTACATTTGTAATAACTTAATGGCCCTGTACTAATCATCTCATCTCTGTCAATTCAGAGTCAGTTTTGATTGATTTCTTTCTCTTCTCATCACCCCTTCTCTTTCCTCTCTCTTTTCCCTCTCTCTCTTTTTTTTATCCATCCACATCAGCACTTCCCAGACTCATGCTGATTGATTGATTTTGCATTCATTTTGTATTTTATTTCCCCCTTCTTTGCATGTGTCATAATATTTGACTAGATTCCAGGCATTGTTTATTTTGCCTTATTGCTTGCTGAGTATTTTTTTATTTCAGTGAGTATTCTTGAGATTTATTCTGAGATATATTTATGTTACTTGGAAAAATTTTGATCCTTTGACATCTTGCTTTTAAACTTTGTAAGGCTGGGCTAGAACATAATTTGGTCTGTGGCTAATTTCATCTACCCCTGAAACAAAACTGTTCTTAATACTTTATGTATGGCTCATGGATTATGGGTCATACTCTGTGAGGAATAGGCATTATTTCTCACCGTGTGTAATCTCTGCTTCTTTTTTCTTTTAGTCCTTTTGGGTTTTCCCCCCCCCCCCTCCGGCTTTGGGTATTTTCCTCCACTGATTTACTGATCAGTACACAACTGAATACTTGAGTGTGACTCCCTCCAGATCTCTGGAGTTTTCTGTTTGCCTTCTCTTCTCTAGTACTGTGTGCTGAGAACTCTAGCACTTTTGGTTTCTCTGGTCTCCCAGCTTTTCAACTCAGGGAGTCCACCTTCCTCTACTGGGATCCCTCTCCCTGGGTGTCGGCCTCAAAACTTTCTCCAGTCACAGGGCTCACCTCAAGTGTTTCCTTACTCTCAGCTCTTACTGTCTTTTCTTGCCTGATAGCCAGCGTTTTGAAAACCATTGTTTCAACATGTTTTCTTAGTTGTTATTGTTGTTGTCTTAGTTGTTTCATTTGGGAGGGTAATACTGTCTCTATTACTCTGGCTTGG